CAGGTACTTGCATTTTCATAGTTAATATAAAAATGGGCTCTAGACAATGCCTCCTCTGTAATGATACTCTGTAATGATACTCTGGCTTYATATTACAGAAGGGGGTTTATCTTCAATTAATTTATCCTTTTTCTAAGAGGGTRACATATTAATCTGAAAAAACTTTTGCCAATTGTACAAAAATGAATTAAGCGCCGCTGAAAGATCAGCACTGCAAAGTACATATGCTCATGAACAATCTGAACACATGAATAGTTCCTTCAAGTCAAGCCACTGTTTTTGAGAAATTATTACGCTCTGGATTTAGAATTTAGATCTTTATTGTAGGGTTTAAGTTCTGCACAGACCTTCTCACTAGATAAATTTAACCTAAACCAGCTTCTTTTTGGGAGATGTTTGACTGATAATAACCTTACMAAAAGAAAATCCAAATGATGTGCCCCAAGTCTACAGGATAGCATGCTGCAATTAACATTTTTAAAAGGTGAGTAGGTATATTTTATTTAAGAAAGGACTTTAGATTCTAAAACTCCTTGACTGAGGTTTTGAAGTTTAATGCTGTCAATTTTCATGGAACTTTTGGTCATAAAGGACTTTCTCATAAAGTCATCCTTTTATTATTCTGAAAGTCACATGAAAAGCAAGTCTTTTTCGATATCCAGACTGACTTAACTGCTTCTAAGGCTTTGGGTAATTCTATGCATCTTTTCTGACCAATGACAGACGAGGCCATCTTCAGAGTGACTCCATTAAATGCCTATCACAAAAGCATCCCTATTGTAAATGACACAATACGCACTGAAGGACGAACGCCCTCAGCAGCCTCCCTGGCTCCAAACACTGCTTGTTTGGGTGCTTTTGYTCTTCAGATGGCAAATGGGACAAACATTTCTAATATTCCGTGCAGAACAGAAACCTACCATAATAAATGGGAAAGATATTTTCTACCAATTCATCATGACCTCTACTTATACACTGGAAGACAGAGTAAGGGTAAACAAAATGATAGAATGTAAACATATTTTGTTGGAGCCTAAGTGGTTAGGGAAAGCAAACCAATTAATAGAAAATATATTCTTCCTGACAGTTCCTTCAGCTCTTTAATATTACACACATTTAATACTAATTGAAGCTTGTTTTTAGCTAATAAATTTTCTTTCATGTTAAGCTCGTTTAGCACAACCCTTTTGCTCAAATTTCCTCATGTAATTTAACAAGCTATCTGTATTTAAGAGTAGTTTGTTTTTTTTTTTTTCTATAATATTGACATAGAGAAGAGTCTACCAGCTAAYGGAAATTTGCTCTCTTATTGTCATATCTGTAATTTCCGTGGCGTCCCAATCTTCAACCAGTGGATACCCCAGAGACTGGACTGGAGATAATGATACTGAGTCAGAAATAGATGTCTCTAAAGAAAGAGTGTAGTAGCTCCATGCACCCTGCTTAGGTGGAGAAGCATAAATGGGCCAGGATCTCTCTCTGCAGGCTGAGGGCAGCATTTATTTCTCCTGCTAACTCTATTGGTTGCCAAGATACTTGAAGAGGAGGAGCTTACAAGGAATTTGAAGCACAGGAACGAGCTGTGGGATGGCTCCTGTGCCTTGTTTTTCTGAAGTGTTGAGCAACTCACCCACCCATGTGACCATTAAGGATGCTTGAAAATCAGATTTTAAGTATTTTGGAATAGACTCATGAAAACAGAGACAGAGAGCAGATAATTTGTGAAATTATGTCTTGCTTGCAGAAAATAAAGAAGTTTGAAAATGATGATACTGTCTTTGGGAGACCATATTTCCTCTGATGAAAAATGTGATGATGAACTCCTTCCTGGAAATTACTCACACTGAATAATCTGATCACTGTCTATATGTGACTGAACCTGAACAGAGTTTTCYTCTTGGTGGACTTTTTCTGGCTAGATTTTTGTACCAGCTAGTGCCTGTAAATTAAGCAGTATTTCTGATGAGCTCTTTCCTGATGAAGGACTTGCAAGTTTTGGGYTGGCTGGCAACTCCTTCAATTCAAGACTAAATTAATTGCTTCCTCTTTGTCTGTCAAGTCTTCTTTTTCCCCCTACAGTTTTAGGAAAAGAAACTAATGCATTTTACAACTTTTCCTTGTTGGACTGTGTTAGGATAGTGTCAAATTAACCACACCAGGGAGAAAATTTTTTTTTCTCCTCAAAGCAGAAGCCTACAGAGTACTATCTAACAATACTGCCTCACTCACAGATCTGAAGGCTATTCACYTTCTGTGTCTTTTCCATGCCAACCCAGCCTAATGGGTCTGTGTGTCCCACTAAAGCCATGTCACAGCTATGACCTGGAAATCCCCATACATTGGATAGAACCTGTCAGCAGGACAGGGTGTGGCATGGCTCTGCAAACACAGGGCGAAAGATATTGTGGACTAAAAGAGCATCCACTCAATCCAATGCCCAGCTCTGGATTTCTGTCAGTGCAATTTATCTTCTGCAGGCTGTAGGATGTTCCTTGCGATGTTGAGCAAAATTAGAAAAATGAAAGAGGTTTTAGGGTTTTTGCTGATCCAGTCATAGTTGGACTAAATATACTGACTGCTACAGTATCAGCAGTTATATTGSATTCTTTGCCCATTAATACAAAGAATAATACTTCCATTCTTTTTACCTCTTCTTACTTTATTGTGAATGTGTAGCTCTAAGATATACCACAATTCAAACTATTTGGTTACATTTTCTCAAACAGAAGTTAAGTGCTGCTGCTTTCACTTAAATATAATGGGATGCTTGCAATTTCCTCGTATTACAGTACAAAATTGTGTCTCTGTTGGCCAATTCTTTGAAAGCAATTGTATGGATACTTCAGTACATAGAAGCAAATTGCTGATGGTTATGCAATGAGATTTACCTGCACTTCAAAAAAGGGCTGTGCAAGTGCAAGATACTGCAAAGTGCTGATTGCATTACACTGTATGTTCACTCATTTTTACTGGTGGRTATCTATTTTAATGAGACAAAATAAAGATTGCATTGATCCAGTATCCTTATATTACATGAGTAGCTGACTATTAGTATAATGCAAACTTCTCTAATGTTCTTATCATAAAAAACATTGTCATTGCTTTCCAAAGAATGGTGAAACTCAGCATATGAGTTAGCCTATAACAGGGAAGTTTAATAAAGATTATAACTTTATAACGACTATTGTATATTTTAACAAAAATGAGTATTTAAAATTAACTATCTGAACACAAAGTTTAGCATCATATATGTAATGTGGCCTGTTATTAGTATACAAATATGTAGCAGAGACTGAGCTTCATGTTAAGGTTTTGCGTAGGACAAAACCAATATAGACATAAATAAAATTSTCTTTCTGAGAATACAGATGATCTGTCTGCCCTGAGCATCCTGGAAGCTACCTCCAAAGCTAGCCTGTCCTATTCCCCATACCACAAGTAAGCATTTGTGGCCGTGGAAAACGCTCTTGTAAGATGCAAGGTACACTCAGTACCCTGGGCGTGCTTAGCACCTCAGTCCATCACAGGCAGTCACAGCAGCAGCCAGCAGCATCCCCTGGGCAGCAGTGACCTCCACAACCACACAGCACACACGTCATCACCCACACACGGAGCAACCCCAGAAACTGCTATTCCATCCCAGCACGTATGCACAGACAGAAGGCTGGAAACGAGCCAGATATTGTAGGAACCTCTAAGAGATGACGGTGCAGCACAGCTCAGCTCCATGGAGCAGCCACCCACGTGCACACGAGTCAGGCTACGCACGCTTCCAGYGTGTCACTGCCTCGGATCAGGAAAAGCCTACTCTAGCTCATGTTTGTTCCCACCTCTTAACGGGRCACTTGAGCACCAGCCTGTCAGTTGGAACGTCTTCACATATGGTATCCCTAGGGTTGCCAAAGGATGACTGAAAATACTGGAAGTGAACAATGGGAGAGACTCAATAATCCTCTTCCTCACTCCCCAGACTTGACACAAGCAGGGTTGAGGCATGCAAAAGAACAGCACTTCACACAGAAGGTCAGCTTCTGCCAGCTTGAGATTTGGTACAAACACTTCATGGAATTAAGCTGTTTCCTTGTGCAGAATACACATAATGCCATTGCGAGCCATCCTTACTTCACCATCCTTATGCCTCAGCCTTAACTAGGGACTGAACTGAAGATACCGMATCGCGTCTTCTCTCTCTCTGATGAGATTACAAATACAAATATCAATCAAATAAGATTTGAAATCCCAAGCAAGAAGACATTGACGAACTAAATCTGCAGGCTGACACTCACATGGAATGCAATTCAGTCTGAAAATATTCAGCAAGAGTTATTATAAATGTTTTCATTTATGAAGTAGACACATTTAAAAAGGTATACACAATGCTGTTTTACAGTGTTACATTACTCTACTGCAATTAATTTCCAAGAGGTGAGCAAGCCTGTGGGAATGGCATGGTACCATGGACCCAACAGACTGTCTGAAAACCAAGTATATGGTGCCACTGCCTGCCAGCTGATAGAAGCAATTAATGAGGGTTTCAGCCCAGCTCCATATGTCACTGGTCCCTAAGCACCACTCCTTCAGATACTCTTGTTTTAAATCTCATGAGGAAATTTGGGAGCTGAAGGGCTGGAAATCTGGTAATCTCCACAAAAAAAGGTGGGGAGGTGTAAGAAGGACTGTTCCAGTAGGAGAGCTTACACAGGTTTGTTCTATGAGTAGAGTGTTTAACTCTCTAGAATTGTCAGATCCAGCACTTTTTATATGAATTTATTTTAAAATCAAATACACACACCCTTTTCACCACCACACATGTTTTTTAAGGGCATTTTAATGATAAAAGTAGAAATTAAGGAAAAACTAATAGCTCCAGTATCTATAACTTTAAACTCCCAAGTGAATTTCCAGTCACATAAACGAATATTTTGGTCTAAAGTCTCTCAGCCCCCAAATTTGGATAACAGTATGAAAGATGATAAATCTAGAAAAACCCCAAGTCTTACCTTCTTGTAGAGACTTCTCAGGTCTCTGTACTGCCACATACTATTGAGGACCTGAGATGCTGCTTTCACCACTTTAGGCGAATGCCTGTTAAACACATATATTAAAAAGGGAGAGARAGAAAAAAAAAGAGTGAGAAAAAGACTGTTAAGTACAGGACACCATTCATCCAAATTTTCAAATGCATTGCTATTGATTTAAACCCACAATTACAGTATGTTTTAAATATACCATAAGACCTTTGCTTGGCATCTTGGACACGAATGTGTTTTTAAGTAAGGGCAATGTATCTTATTTCTACAGTACCAATCAATCAGGGAGGAGGCAAACGGGTGTGTCTCAGCACACACAATGATTTCTGCTGAAAGCATAGGAAGAGGAATAGGAGGTAGCAATTGGGAAAACTGTGGAGGCCCCAACTGGCCTTACATGTATCTCAGATACGCTACAACTTCTGGCATGAAGGGCAAGGAATCAGAGCCAGAATTTCTTTCTCTGTAAGCTGCCAAATTCCAGCTCAGGATAGTGTGCCCAGCTCATTAAGCTCCTCTTAGCAGCTGCCAAAGAAACTCTCGATGGGTGATGAGCACTGGTTTTGAAATGCAGAGCCAAGATGCAGGAATACAARTGATTTAAAAAGTTATGATAAATTTCATTAGGAATCCAAATGCAGGCTTGGATTTTGCTCACACCATTATCCTTTAATGACAGCAATACAATGTCATGTTGAAAACCCTGGAACTTCACATGGGCTTTCTTTTCAGACAGGTTTTGAAAGATGATCTAAACTATTGTCACAATCAGTTGGTGTCATATATTCTTGTAGGACTAGGTAACTAAAAAAAACCCTAAAAATCAGAGTGTATTCATCTCAGCAAAGAAGAGTCAAATGGAAAAAGACCAGGAAGATAAACCGGCCCATTAAGGAAGCATACACTGTGCTGGAACAAAAACACACATAAAGCAGTAAAACACTAGAAAGCCTTGCAAAGGCCAAAGTCCAGAGTGAGGATTGATGGAGTTCAGGCCAGTCATTGAGATGATTTATGTTTTACTCAGAAGAGGCATAKGGATTGCAAAATCAAAGAAAAACCTGAAAACCAGCAGTGTAAGTTACTGCTTTGGGCAGGAGCCAGGCTTTGGTTCATTCTGTGACTTCTGAGAAGGATCATTGGTAGGCTGACAGTCAAGCTGGTAAAGCATTGTTATGACACAACTGATTCATTAATACAACAATTCCCTAGTAATTTATTTGGTGCTTTTTTTCCCACTTCTATTCCATTTCTCACCCAGARTACAGCAGTAGGTGGGTAATTGGTGAGTAAACAGGATTTTGATAAACCMTTTCAAGCATAATTGTTTTTATTATGCTTCCAGCTGTACTGGCTAGTGGGGTGCTGGTAGCATGGAGAAACCAGGAAAATAACTGTGCCAGCCACTCTGTGAGTACTGAGGAGAGGCAGGAGCCATGTGAAGCTGATATGAGCTTGGCCRATATAAATACCCTCATGAACACCCGTTCACTCATGCGGTCATACAGGGAGASCGTTCAAGCCCTGGGCACATTCCAAAGGCTAGCAGGGCCAGCCTCACACTCCTGGCACCCATACATGCCAGGATGCATGGCCAGTCCAGTATCCTGCACATTCAGAAGCAGTTGCTTGATACTGGACACAATGATTTCACACAGAAACATTTTACTGGATTAAAGTGAGTATGCCAGATTTTTTTATCAGTGCAATAACCAGCAGTTTCAATTTTCAAACAATGAATTACCTATAAGGAACCAAACCAAACAAATAGCACACAGTACTGACATTTCTGAAAGCTGAAAAATAGAACTTTTACTTAAGATGGGCATTTGCAGCACTGTGTGTTGACAGGTTTTCTTGTTCTAGAACTCCGTAACCTGTAAAAATAATAACACAGGACTGCAGCTCAAAGAACTTGAGAGGAGGGATACATATCACAATTTGGAAGTGCATTTTGKAATTACTCTACCTGGACTAAAAACTTTAATTAGAAATAGATGTCTTTCACAGTTATGAGAGATATTCAGATTGGGAATTGTGCCCTCGGATCCTCCTAAAACTGACCATGACACTTCAAACATTCCAGACTCAACAGGTATTARTATTCTTCACCAGATAATAAACAGGTTGACAAATGCATTATTCTGAGGAAAGACACATTCAGCTTAGGAGAAATGGATATGAACCTGCTTGCACTGTCAGTACATTTGGTCTAGAAAATACAAACAAAAAATTTAAGTAGACTTAATAATAACAAAATRCAAATATAAATAAATTGGCAGAGCATGGGGAGCTCCTACAACTGGAAGTACATACTTGGTCACACTACTACTTTTTAACCCTTTTACAATTCGAATGCAAGAATGTTTCAATAATGAATTTGGTATGAAAGGAAAAGGGTGACAATAGAGGAACAGAAATGCAATTAAATTATATTGGCAATGCTCCGATCACATAGGCGAGCATAAGTTCTCATACCAAATGTAGGGTGCATAAATCTTTCCTTCAGGTTGTGGCCTGGCTTTGTGGGGCTCTTTAAGAGCTCTGATGCTGCAGTAGSCTGTGTGATGACAGCTCCGAGTAGRTGGACTGATGGGTTTTGTACACTACAGTGAAGGCTTTTTGTTTTCAAACTGCCATAGTCCCATTGCACTATACTTCATCAGGTTGACAAATATGAGAACCAGGCTATCTGTTTTAGGCAAAAGAAGGATAAAGAGTGAACTCTTCATGAAGAGTGTGTACATAGCCAAACAGACAAGATGAAACCATAGCTGTTCTGAAAATGTCACAGTTGTGTGCAAGACATTTTTTGCCCCACAAAGCAGCCTAATGCTCTCTCAGAAGCAAGCAGTCAGAAAACCCACGGATTTACTACCAAGCTGGTGGCAGGGTGCTGTGAAGAGGGAGAGTGCCTTTACATTCTTCATTCCTAGAGCAAGAGGAGCAGCAACAGAACTGTGGTGAGCTCCTTCCTTTCAAAGGATCCCTCCACCTGCATGTCACCCCTTGTGCAGGGTGCAATCCAACCCCTGTGATCCCTAATGTTTATCAGGATCTTTCTGCAATTGCTTAGAGGTTGGGGTGACTGTAGAAAATTACTCTTCCTTATAAGCACATGGAGTGCACTCCCTGCACTGCTGACAGCACATCAAAAATAAACCAAAGCATATGGGAAACTTTGGGTATTGGCATTGTCTGTTTCTTGTCACCCTTCACAYGGGGCACATGATTTCTGTCAAAACTAAAGGGTTCAACTCACGATTACACAGAGAAGGCAAACACATCCAGGACTAGCAATATGTACTGGAGAGGTTAAAAAAAGGTGCAAGGTGATTTGCAAAAAACATACTTGTCTCCTTTACTCTTAGATATGCCAACCAGTTTCTCAATGCCGCCTGCGTCTCGTAAGGCCTTGGCATTCTCCATGTTTTTAGTGATGACTTCATGCAGAGTGCAGCAAATGGCAGTAACGGTGTCATCAGACATGGCCTTGCTCGCTGAGCTGTTGCTGTTGTTAGCGCCTGGCAGTCGGTGGACCAGATCCCTCATGGCATAYTTGCCTTTGTTGGGAGAAAATGAAGGGAGAATTCAGAAGATACAGCAATAAAGGGAGACGGAGAAGCACAGGGAAAACACRAAGACCAATAGCACCATTTGCATCATTGCATGTAACGTAATTGAATACTGATATTATTTTGGTAATCTAATTGCATATTGATATTATTCTGGAGCAAGCCATATTTACATGATTGCATGTTCAAACATTTCACACATTACGGACTCTTAATATTTCCATACTGCATCAGTCAGAGACTTTGGATATGGCCACATCCCTTAAGAGAATGGAACTATGATGGTAAAGCCAAGTATATGCACAAAGGTAACCTGAATACCTCAATTCACAGAGCTTGGCAAGTCCTTGTCTCCCACCAAACAACTTACAACTTGTTACTATAAATTCTATGTGCATCAATTGTCAAAACCACAACAGYGAATGCAAATCCAATGATGYTGTTATCTGTGAAAGAGTCTYCTCTGAAGAYTTCTTYACTRCACAAGGTTARTTCTATTCTATATGTAGSAATTTAAYWGGRTTTGTTAGTGTTTCTTAGACYGTATTGCTCAAGAGGACACMATTTTTTACACCCATCCTYAGTTKTGTGCACGCTACTGACWAGAAAAGGAGCCTTTYTGACATCTATTCCAGTCTGGCATTTAGCAAGGATTTACTGAATAAAAYCCTAACCTCCAGAACTTAAAACGTCATAAAATAAAAGCAATTTTCAAAGTAATCATATAAAACATTTAAAGAAAAATAAATTACTTTTGGATTTGATTATCTTTTCAAACCTAAATTATTCTAAAATTCTTTCCATGCTTAAATGAACAGACTTCTTTTTCAAATTTGCACTTAAAAGTCATGTAGTGCTTGTGAAAGTATTTAAAAAGCAGATTCTGAGAATTTATATACAYGCATACATATATGTAAATATACACATATATACGCAGTGTAAATATAAATGTAAATACATATAAATATAAGACAGGATTAGCCCCAGTGCAGATACACAAGAAGCCTCACATCAGTTCTAGAGGACTGCTATTATCGTAAATGGCTGCTCAATCCTTCCATGTGATGAAGAGAATATCAGAGAAAGAGAAGAAGACCTGATGAAGTTATGACTGAGGTCAGTGAAACAACTCTGAATCACCTTCAATGCAGCTGGGCTAGGAATTTGCATACAGYAATCACCATGAGTGTATCATGCAGGATGAAAAGGACAAGAAAATTGGGAAATATAAACATAATTAGTAATCTAATCTACATCACATTTCGTGAATGATCAGGTATGATTATTGCATATAATATGATAATTTAATCAGATTTTTGGGATCACTTAAAAATGTTCTGATCAATTAATGTTTATGCATACTTATTAAAAATCTTATTTCTGAATTCATAAATTCAGTTATTTGTATCCATATTTGAAAGYAGAGGTAAGAGGAAAATCACACCTTTTAACTATCAGACATTGAACCATTTTTATTTCTCAGAATTTTGCCTGATGTGGCAGAACTACAGTCAGTCATTTGAACAGAATAGTCATAATACAGATAAAAACTAAAATCCCTGTACTGAACTGTTAAAGATTAGAAAATAGATTTTGTGGTAATGTGAGGTGTTAGAAAATACTCATTCTATATCATGTAAAAACATTCCTGATCATAAAAAGCATTAGACTACCCACAAAATGTGTACAGTAGGATTTGAATCTTAACCAGTGTGCTGCAATGCAAATACAAATCCTATCCTCAAACATTTTTATTTTCTTTGAACTTAATATTTAATTTACTTTCACTGTTACAATTTAAAGCAATATTACTGATATCAGATGTAGTACAGTTGTTAGCATCACTTTCTCTTCAGAAATCTTCAGAAATCACTGAAAAACTTCTTCTCCCCTACAAATTTATGAAACACTGTTCCAGAACAGTCTGAAATGCCATTTTCATTTGAATCTGTTTGTTCTGTGTAACATGAACACATTAACAGTTGCCTATCACTTACAGTGATTACTTTGCAACACATATCAAATTAAGCTGGTGYTTCAAAAGAAAATAAACTATGATTTGATGCAGCTTTTACTCTTCTAGCACAGCATCTGCCACTGGTTGGGAGTAAGTACAAGTASATAAATCAGATCAGTGAGACTTTCTGCTTTACTCTGTGTGCACATCCAGAACAGACCCATCTGCCTTTTTCCTTCTGTGCCTCACTTAAATTTCAACAGAACATCTCAGCACCTCTGGTGGAATCAGTTGAGGATGATCATTCCATTAGCAGTCAAAGGCTGCGTCCTGAAGCATTGGATGCAARGAAATCTGGATGGCTGCCCCAAGCAGAGTTCTTTCCTGGAACTGGTCTAGTATTCCAGGCAATAGTATTCACACCAGTACACATGCCTAGACACACAAAATGCTTCTTACAATAAATAAAGGCTTTGAAGCTAGCAGGGAAAGCTCGGTAGGAAAACAAAAAGAAACACAATCAAGCTCGGTATAAATATTCTGCACATGCCAATCCTCAGCAGTTCTAACATTTCTGCTGTGCACACCCTTCAGTTCAGCTTGAGAAGATCAAATCAGTATTAGATACTTCAAAACAATAAAACAGGTGTTTTACAGATAATGTGTAACAGTGGGACAATACAGCATTCCTTATTCYGAGCAGTTCTAGTAATTCCAGCCCAATATTACTATCCAATTCTTAATCAGATGTATATTTAAACTAAAATATATTCTGCGTGGGTTTGGTTGCATTTTGTCACCGCCTTTTTTTTGCCTCCTCAGAACTGCATCAAATTTAGCCTTTGGATAGGAATACCAGAAGACTCACAGTACACATTTTGTTACCTAAAATCTAGTCACTCTATTTCATTTGCAGCAGCTATGCAAGCTGCTGTCCAGTCCGGAGATGCCCCAGTCAGCACCTGTACTGTCAATGCCAGGCCCCTATTCCTGCCAGGAGCTGCCTGTGGGGCACACAGGTTTTCCCTATCCCTGTCCTGTCCCCAGGAGGCAGCGAAAGACACGACTGCCACTTCAACAAAGCTGCTCACCTCCATGGCAAAGCAGCTGGTGGCAATTCTGACAGGCAAAATGTCCTTACAGGGGCTCACCAAACAAAGGTGGCATACCAGCTGGAACAAGACGGGAGTGGCTGGGCTACAGAGTTGATCTAAGACACTGTTTACATGGTCTTAAAACCTGTTAACAAGGGTAACTGCTAGCACATTTTCTGTGGTTTGAGTACTTCCAACACTGTATCAGCTACGTGGAAAATATACAGAAAAAGAAGGAAATTTGCTTTAATACAGAGTTAAGCCACAGAAGATGAAAGTCAAGGACTATCCTTTATACTGCAAAAAGTTTTTCTAAAACTATGTAGTTACTTAATAAATCACTGTCCTACATTGACAGAAAAAAAAAGTAAGTTATTGGTGAATTTCTCTTAACTCAGTTCCTCCTGCTTTACTTCAGACATGAAGAAAAGAAGGGTCATGTTTTCTAGCATGAGCTACACAAGAAACCGTGCTCTGCAGTGTTGTGAATGTGAGGTACTGCCACAGGTACTCTTCCATCAACCCAACACAGCTGACAGCTCCTGGGATCCTCGACTTCTGCACTGGTGTATGTTACACTCTTGCAGAGCATCTGCATTTAGAATTTTCTTTTCCATGTTAAGAGCCTCTTCTGAAAGCAGACTGAAATGTGTAATGGAAACCAGTGCTGGAATGTCAGCAAAGAGTTATCTAGCACTATTATTATCTAGCATGACTAGCRTGAGAGCTGGCCAATTCAGCTTGCAACACAAGAAGCCTCCCTGAAYGGAAGAAGTGAGAACAGACAAGGCTGCTGGGAAGAGAGGCGAATGTGTGTGAGGATTAAATAAAAAATAAATAGCCTTGTTAATTTTCATTAGGGTCCATGCAGAACTGCTTTAATCTACAAACAAATTGATTTTTTAATTTTTACTTTTTGTATTTGAACAACATTACACATTGTAAGACCCAAAACTGATTTGAAGCTTTTAAAGAGGATTTATGTAATATGATTAAACATAGCCAACAGCTTGACAAGGAAAAAAGAAATCACATTTATTTGTTAAATTTCACTCTTAAAGGAAGGAAGAAGACATTAAATAGACATAACAGGAAGCACTGTCTTCTCAGTGCTTGGGAGAGAATTTTTCCTGATACTATACATTTTAAAGTTATTTTTCTAAGATAAGACTTCCATCATTTTCATATTAAGAAGGTGATTCATCTAACACCATGCACTAAGTCTTTGACTGTAGGATGATAGCATTTGCYTATTATTTCAACAATGAAGATTTAATGTCTTTTCCTTTGCATGATAAAAGTCTCAGCACCTTAATACCTTCCTCTGTTACTTAATTCATGAAACTTTTCACTTCACAGGATCACATAACTGTCCTAAGAGAGATTCTGCCTTCAGATCCAAACAGCAGAACAAACTATTCTTCTGGTAGATTAAACCASAGCAAAATCATCACAGATAAGGTTCTGCTTCTCTAAATATTTCCTTACTATTGCCTTGAGACAAATTCACTGCTGTTGTAACATTGTTGAATCCACTTCCATTTTCACTCTTCTCTGAACAATGTCTTTGACACAMTGGCAAATTTATTAAACAGTTGTGACATGGTTCCTAGTTTGAGAGGACAAGATTAGGAAAGTTGACCTATTAAAGAACCAAGAAACCCATACAGATACTAATTCAAACTAAGAACACTGTACTAGAGATAGATCTTTCTCTATAAAAGTAATTGTTCAGTATTCCACCCCTCGAAAGATACCCATTGATCCACATCATGTGGTCAGTTAATATAAAAATGGCAAAATGCCACCATATTTTGTTGTAAAGATACAGATATCCTATTCCAGAACTACTGGTGTCTGTATGCCAGAATACATGTGAATTTTCTTCTCTTTGTGCTAACGTGTGGGCTCCACTTAGATATAYGTGGTTTGGGTCA